TGTGCGTTTAGTAAAAGCGGCGTCACACCAAGGGCGATTCAGAACTTTGGATTTGGAGGAGGGAGGATTTGGTTGGATGGCGTGAGTTGCTCCGGTACAGAATCATCTCTGGCTAGCTGTTCACACAACACATGGGGCGACAACGATTGCAGTCACAGTGAAGATGTTGGCATCATATGTGATCCAAGTGAGTTGTCATCTTGACAAATATTTACGTGAATATGAGGGGCATCATTTATCATTGAACTATTGTTCTTGTGCAACTCATGGACACTGTCTATTCTCGGTCATGATTAGGAATACATGAAAATGAAATCGAAAAATAGCAATCTTCCCAAACCGATAAAGTACGTGTTTCAACACAACAACGCTTTCTGCCACTGTTGGCTCTCATCATAATTGAACTGGTAATGTCTTGTTAACACAGACATAGGTACATCTGACAAATGCGTTGCAAAAATAACGGAGGAGAGAGTCCTGCAAGGGAATACGTAGATTTATTCGTCTGTTCCAGGGAGGTTTATAGAAGTGACACCAGGTACTTATAGGATCACACACCATGCAGACATACGTGTCGTGTGACAGGGCAGTCAGTATTGTCTTTATGTCTACAGAACGTGTGACTATCACCAGGCTTCGTTTCATCCTGTTACAAATCAAATTAAATGAAATATACACACTAAACCGTTTCAAAGTTAGTCTATGGCTTTCCAGTTTTGAACAATATATAAGAGAATATTTAATGTTTTTCGCTATGCTGCTTCAACAGGTGACATAACCATGAAGCTGACAAGCTACAAAAGTGGACTCCTGCAGGTACTCCACTCCGGTAGCTGGGGAACAGTGTGTGATGATGACTTTGGAGCAGTGGAAGCTACTGTTGTGTGCAGGGCTCTGGGGTACGAGTAAGTGGTAGTTCATGATCTTCTTTCAAGAAAACAATTAATTAATAAACAGTCTTTCATTGAAAGATATCAACCTAGGATTATTAACTTTGTAAAAGTTCAAAAGCAACAGGCAAATTATTTGAAATTTATTTCAAACTCATTATCTCAAACAGGGAACGATATAGCATGTAAAACGATCACTTAGAGTGCTGGGAAAGGTTAGAAATTTCATTTTTTAACAACTTATACAATCTATATCTGTAACACCTATACACTGGTGCAAACAAAAATGGAACAGCTTTGACTCGTGTTGTAAAATGCTGACACGCTGATGATGATTTCTGCTGCATGCTGTTCCACTGATCGGGGTTCCAATCCCGATTTTATAAGCTTGCCAGCAGCAGCCCCGTGCTCCTTGGTTTCACTAAGTGATACAATTCTGCGGTCTGCATCACACATCATGCTGTCACGCCTAGATATAACTTAACAGTTCAAAGCAGCGTCAAACCAATCCATCTAACCAACCATAATATGTCACTAAAACAAGATGGTTCAGTTTTTCGAAAAGGCCTCTATTTATGTTTCCTTTACAGGATTGGAAACGTAATTGATGAAAGCAGTTCCAATAAAATGTGGGCTAGATGACGTCCAGTGCACGCAACTGGACACAGATCTAAAGGACTGCAAGCACAGTCCATGGGGAACAAATGACTGTAGCGATCCTGAAGCTGTTGGTGTCGAGTGTTTTTCTTTTCCTATAGGTATGGTTTGGATCATTGCTCGTGACACTGATTACTGGGTTGTCTGCTAAGGGGCACATTTGTTTATTGGCCATATGATTGTATTATTACTAAACGAGGCTCACCACTCTGACTTGTGCAATCTACGGGACAGGATACAGTAACCCTTCCCCGGAACACATTGTATCATTATCATGTGTCAGTGTTGGTTATGGTATTGTTGGAAACGTACAATGGACTCTTTTGATGGGGGTTACTTATAAATAGGGATATGAGAAACCATAGATAGAGGAACTTCAGATCAGAATGCAGTACATATATGTATGGTTAGGTTGTTGGCCTTACTGGATTTTGAACTTTAAGACGACAGTAATTCACAGCATTGAGACCAAACATGTTTCATGTTGACCTTACCAGTTAACCGATTCGAAATTCCAATGTTTTAAGATCCTTCAATGTTTTGACATTGAAATCCTTATCCCTTGTGATGGAAAAAATCAACACAGACAAGCAGGACACGCTTGACCGTGATTCTTGCATCACACTGGATGCACAACGGAGGATCACGGGAATAAGATCTAATGACGGCTTTGTAATCGCAGTATAGGATAAGAAGTGGTGTCACATATTCGGTAAGTGCTGCCTCAGCAGCAAAATCGGTCATTGTGTTACCAGAAATTCCAGCATGGCTGGGTAAGCAACAGAGGACGAGGTCGTATTGGCCAGTAGAAAGATCAATATGAACTTCAATAATTTCAATTAAAACTGAATATTTACAAGATAAGTTTTAACACCATGAATGCACGAAAAAGAGTCTGAAAAGAGTAGATATTATTGATATTTGGGGTGGTTTTTTTTCATTATATTTAAGAGCCGTTAATATGGCGGTTGCTTCTGCTGTAGAAATATAGCGGTTATCTGGTATTCTAGAAGATAATGTTCTGGATCCAATGACAGTGGCACAAGCAACTTCGCCACCATCATTGGATCCCATAATTTGTATGTATAATATTTACTTTTTAATAGAGTATGTTCTTGTTTATATTGTAATTGATTAGTTTCGGATGTTTTAAACGTGGTCAGTGTTCGGTCAACTTCACTAATTACCAAGGAACAGAAGAAAGAAGACGGGGAGGAGCTATATTTTGTAGTTCAATGAAAGCAGCAGAAAGGAAAGGTTTTATTCTTATTCCTGGAGGTGGAATAAGAGATGACTTCTTCTTGTACAGATCCCCATAGAAAGGATTAAAGACACAGAGTCGTTAGAATATTATTTTTATATATAGTGTAAGGATATACGGCGTTGGATAAGGGATGGCTCATCGGCCTCGACGTCAGCAGAAGAAGTTCTAACGGACCCAAGTCTTAGACCTTGGTGGCTGACAGAATCTAACAGTTTTATATTGCTTTTGCAGGCTCCACCATTTACGATGGAACCGTAATCAAGTTTCGAACGGATGAGTGATCTATATAAGTGAAGGAGGGCAGTATGATGCCCTCTCTACTTTGAATTAGAAACGAATTTGAGTAAATCGAGTGCGTTCAGGAATTAATTTTTTAGATATTTGATAAATGGGGGTCGAAAATTAGACCCAAGAACTTGGACTCCTTGACAACGTCAGTGGGAGTGTCAATTAAAAATAGTTCTGGGTCTTGATGCGGTTTATATTTACGGTTGAAATGTATACAATTTGTTTTTGATTTAGAAAATTTAAAGCCATTTTCAAGACACTATTTATATATTTTGTTTAAGCACAACTGCAGTTGCCATTCTAGACAATGCATATTGTTACCGCGACAACTCTTGGGGAGAGGTAGGTGTGGTGGTGGTGGTCCGTTTTCGTATATAATGTTCCCTTTGCCTGCATGTTAGAAACATGTGTACAGATTACATACTGCACATGTCTTAACACCTTTCAGCTGTCCATCTGGAACCTCCAGGAAGTGTCCTCAACGTCATCCTTGGTCAGTTGATCAGTGTTGTGTGTGTGGTTGATGACTTTAACTATCCGGCAACTTCGTACCGGTGGACCCACAGCGGACGTTCTTACAGTGGCCAGGTCTTCAGTACAACAATAACGTCCAAGAATGATTCAGGAATTTTGACATGCACAATTGAGAACGTGCTCGTCTCTACTCGAATAAACGTGTGGTGTGAGTGTTCTGCGACTGCCATGAAGGTTATACGATGTAATAATCATAAAGGGGAACGGAAATGTATGTATACACTTATTGGGGAGGCAAAGATGTGTTTGTGGTAATAGGGCTTATTTTCTCTGACACGAATCCAAGTGTTTGTGAGTTTGTAAATAGGTAACCTTGAACAGCGTGTCTACTGAATGTAAGATTGAATCCCGAAGAGATGACAACCATGTAGAATATTGAATTCAAACCATGATCAAATGGGTCTGGTAGGTCTCTCAGTGTTACAGCACAAAAGACCACCTGACCAGCTGTGCCACCCATACATTCAAGAAACATCATATGCTCCATTATACTAGTTTTACGTCTGTAATTGTAGATCGTATGTTATATATTACAGACAATACCTAAGAAAAAACAGACATTTGCAAATGTACATTCATGGGACTGACTAAATACACTCTAGAAAAAAGGAAACTCACAGGCGTTTGTTTCAGCAGTTCATTTCTATATATCTAAGAAAAACAGACATTTGCAAATGTATGGGACTGGCTAAATATGTTAGCAAATTTTGTGAACCATTCAATCATTTGAAAATCTGGTAATGTGGCAATATTTTGCAAATCGAGTCAATGATATTTTGAAATTGATTCGAATTTTCCTTATTAACAATGCAGATTATCGATTCAAACGATCACACTGTCAAAGCCGAAAATGCATGTTCGTTCAGAATGATTAAATTTTGTTAAATTTTAACCGGAGTAACATGTTTATTTCGTCTTATAAATTCCGTTTGAGATGATATTACAATAGTGATAATGCACAATACCACAATATTACAAACTATTATATATGTCTCCAGACCCGCCAGAAGTACATCTGGAACCGAGCAATGACACCATCAATGTTGGTGTCGGTGAAGACCTCCGGGTGCAGTGTGTCGTGGATGATGCCAACCCTAGTGTCCATACATTCAGGTGGTCACACGACGGACGGACAAATACTGGGTCGACCTTCATCAAACGTAACGTAACCAAGTCCGACCAAGGGCAACTGACTTGTACTGCTGACAATGGACACATGATGACGCCTGGACGGGCAGTTGTAACTGTTAATGTCATATGTAAGCTGTGCTATTGTCCTTCTTCATGTCTGTCCTGTTGAGTCATTGGCATACCTTGCTAGATACGTGTTCATGCATATAATCTCTCCTTGTAACATTTGTTTTAAGATCCACCGAAAATACACCTCGAGCCAAACCGACTGGTCATCAATGTCAAACAGGGTGGCGATGTCACTGTTGTTTGTGTCGTTGACGACGCCAATCCCTCCGTCACCTCCTTCACGTGGTTACATAACAACAGCATTAGTCATGGTGAAGTGTTTACAAAGGGTGATGTATCAACGTCTGATGCCGGGAATCTATCCTGCTCTGCCACAAATGGACAGGGGACATCACTCGTAATGACAAAGATCATCGTCAATACATGTAAGTTTATAATCTTTTGCTCACGTGATCTATGATTGAAATATATTTAAGTGACAATCAGCTTATATTCTACAGTGATTTTTAATTCCCAGATATGCCTTTGGTTCATCTGGAACCAAGAAACAACACCCTTGATGTTGTTGTCGGTGAAGACCTACTTGTACAGTGTACAGTGGATGACGTTAGCCCCACTGCCTACACATTTCGATGGTCCCACAATGGACAAACATGTACTGGGTCGACCTTCCTGATTCAGAACGTTACCAAGTCTGACCGTGGACAATTGTCCTGCACTGTTGACAATAGACACACGATGGCACCTGTAAGGACAGATGCAACTATAAATGTGAAATGTAAGGGCAACTTCACATTATCATTTACTCGACGGATATCTTGGATTTCAGTTATGATTCAACGACGTTAATTCGGAATAATCATTCAAACTAATTGTACACGTATTACAAAGGTCGTTTACGTCATCAAGTCTCAATCAGTGTGTAGATAAGAATATTGTTTTGCTCAAATATTAGATTGGCTGATCAAGTGCTGGTGAATGTAAACTGAAACACCTGAAATATATTAAAAATAACTTACTGTTTCATCTGGTCAGTGATACTGTCCTAATCAAAGGAGTGAGTGAGTGAGTTAAAATAAATCGTCACATCGGCAATGTTTCAGCCATATCGTGACGAGAACAATTAATTTTATACATAGTAATGAATGGTAAATTGTAAAAACTGTAAAATAACTAGATTATCACAGATTCGAAGTTAAAACTAGTAATTAGATCTAAAACAGTTTAACTATATATCACAATACAATATAAAACAGGCTATATATTGCCAACAACTGAAGGTAGATCACCATACTAGGGACCATGGGGACTTGCAGTACATTTGCTTCCTGCATGGAGCCCTAATCAAATGAAGTTGGTTCGCTATTAAAAAATCATTTGACACAAACAACCAGTTACTTCACTTTTGGCATTTAGTTGTTCTTCTTTGTAAATCATGTGTTTGAATAGGGTTTAAATATTGCATAATAATCGGTGTATTTTGAATGTTTAACGCCGTGGTTATTTTTCAAACCCTGTAAAACATGAACTGGAATCTTGTATCTGACATAAGATCCACCGGAGATCCACCTGTCAACGAGGGAAGGTGTCATCAGTGTCACGGCCGGGAATGCTGTTGAGGTTGAATGTGTCGTTGACGATGCAAACCCTGCCGTCACCTCCTACATGTGGCGTCACAACGGCGATATCAGTTACGGACAGACATTTCTGAAACACGTGTCATCTTCTGATTCGGGGAACCTATCGTGCTCTGCCACTAATGAACAAGGGACATCAACTGTTCAAACAAGCATCGAAGTCTGTGAGTAACTCTTGCTCGTTGACAAATTCTCAGCCTAAACGTTGAGGAACTCACATTTCGGTTATAATAGTTGACATGATGTTTAGCAAAGCCGATTTCATAGTTTGAAGTATTTTCTGATTTCCAACTTCATATACATCTTCTCATATAGTAAATTCTCATAGAAGACATGTCAAACCCACATCTTTCTACTTGCATTTCTTCATTTTGATCTGTTCGGTCGCAGTGCAAGCTTCCTCTTTGATCGGGAACGATGGCACTACAAGCAAGAATAAAGTGATTGCCATAGCAACAGGATCTGTAGGCATAGGTATCATCGTTATCCTCCTCCTCATCGTTATCTACCAGAGGAGGAGAAGACATGCTGCTAAACGTAAGTGCATACAATGTACGGCCCGTACTTCCTGTACCACATTTCCGGTGACAGGCGTATATTCAAGAACCAGTTCTTATTCCAATTTGCTCGACCGCCAAATATGATTTTACTACCGGACCGGACTAAGTATATAACCATGCTTGCCTTTCACAGCAGTTGGCTAATTTGGTATCGGAAATGTGTAATTCCTGCAAGGATTATCGGCTTACTGTCAACTAGCAACCATGCGACCATTCGAAAAGGAATGAAACGTCGTTTGTACCAGAATTGCCTTGACCTTTTTACGGGCTCTATTTGTGATATGATTTGATAGCATGGGTGACATAAAATATGCACATAGGTACAAAATACGTGCACCAAACCTTTATTTCAACAATACTATGCATATATATAAGCGCATATCTCAAGTATCATTTACCTCTATTGAATAGAATAGCATTGGCCTCAACATGACAACTGCTTATCTATTTCTAGCTGAGAATATACCAGCGGAGAACCAACAGAGGTAAGTGTTCTGCATGTTTGTATATATGTATTGGGAGAGTTGTTTAATCAATATTCAGTATGTAATTTCTCACAGTAAATAATCATTTCCCTCACGCCATGATTTAATGTATTCTTTCAATGGGACTGATTCTGCTGAATGTCATGTGTCAGCTATTCAATATTCATCAAAAGCCTCTCCCCCCTCATTGATTGTTACTTGACATCATCTACTAAAATCAGAAATGTAACGTTCACCAACATTTTTACGCCCTTCACCTCTCTCCCCTCTCCTCTATAAGACAATGTGTAAACACTTGCGTCAGAATTCAAACAGTTTCCTAGCATTCATCATTCAACCTTTCTTTATCGAGCTTACCAATTGGTGGAAAGACAGAAAACTCCGTTGCGAGAACTGTCGATGGTTCGAAGGTTTTCTTTGTCAATGACCAGAAACTTGCCCCAATTGATCTATTTAACGTGCAAAGGAACACAATGGCCCAACATGTGCTAGGTTTACCTATGTAATTGATTACGGAGTAATGTACATAACATCTAACAAAATGTATAATACTTAATTTCATCGCAAAGGCAAACTTGTCAGTTCGTTGTAGCCGTTTGTTGGCTGCATGCTTTAAAAACGCACTGAACGGTAACTTGTCATAATATAGAACTATATCTTGCGTTTTGAACCATTAATGTGTGATAAACAAGAATATTTTGACATTGTTCATTTGAGCGCACAGATTTTAAATATTCCAGTTTGATTTTGCATGTATACAAGAACTGCACAGGCGTCAAAAGCAGTCGATGGAGGAAGCCAACAGCATTACGAGTCGACGGAGCGGCCAAGTGGAGGTATATATTTTATATAACATATACTGTGTGATGAGAACAACGTAAATTTGCCCCGTTTACATGCATGTCTACCCATATATGTGAGTATAATTGTCAAGTGAACGTGTTTGTGTTAATTTACATCAGGAACAATATTTCATTATGTCTGAAGGAAAATTAAAAAACAAATTGACATATGTGCACAAAGCAACACCTGAGGCTTACCCCTATGAATGATTATGTTTTGTCTTGTATTTGTGCGTTGGCAAATGAGGATGTTTATGTTTCAGGTGCTGAGAACTCCTATTGCGAAATTGAAATGACTCCAAGGAAAGGTAATTACCATATCTGTGTATTTATAGGGGTGGCGAGACAGACTTGCCCTCTTGGTAAACACCTGGTGCCATCACTGATTTTCAGTTATCAATATAATTGTCAACTGTTTTGGCATTGGTTCATGTTCTAATACCAAAAGGGTACTGAATGCCCAGACGTATGAAGTGATGCACTTTTGTTCACTTTTGTGTCTCTTTATGTGTGACAGGGTCCTGACTCGATCCAAGGGTCAAGTCAGTGCTTCCCGGTAATTTTGTTTCTGACATCACTTGTTGGGTTCACAAATTATGCATCGCCATTCTGCCAAATCGAGCTGACAAGTTATATCGTGTATGGAATTCTTTCGGAAGTAACACAATATTTCAGATGCCGAGCCTGCTCATATCTATGGCAACCTTGGATTTAAAGATGAAGAAAACACACGGCAAGAACCAGGTAACCTGTTTTCGGTTTGAAGTGCTAAGAGTGATAATGGACATTGACCCTGGACTTTCATTCGGTTTTTGATTCCTGAACATCGTAGAGCAGCAGAGAGGTTTCTTGTAAATGTGAAAAATATTTGTACAGTAAACACAAATATAGTTCACCAGAATATGGCCACTGTGCACATTCCGTGCTCAACGTGCTATTTTCTAACTGATTACTCAAGGAGGATAACGGTCAAAGTGCCCATGTAAATTTCTATTTGACATATTAAAGAATTATGGGTTTCATAAAGTTCGTAGTTCGAAACATGAAAAGCAATTAATAAAGACCCCGGTGAGGTGTAGGATACTGCCAGCAACTTGTGGGCGAGGCGTATTCAGTGATACCTTGAGTTTCCAGATTAAGACATGTGTTAAATCGATCTCAGGTGATCAGGGGCAGTTGGGTAGCTTAGTGGTTAAAGGGTTCCTTCGTCACGCCGAAGGCCTGGGTTTGATTCCTCATATGGGTATTATGTGTGAAGCCAATTCCTGATGTCCCCCGCCGTGATATTGCTGGAAAATTGCTAAAAGCGGCGTTAAACTATACTCACGCACTCACTCACGTTGGTGACCATAGTGATGATGCGAAAGCCGCTCATATCGTCATTCCATCTGGCAAACTATTTCCAATGGCAAGCTGAGCGTTCCTTGCTTCCAGCGCCTGAAATGCATGCATTAATGACACTACAACATTTGTCTAACTGTGTTTTTGCCTAAAACTTGGGATCTGCACAGCGTCCGTTAACACGATGCATCAAAGAGGATACTCCCAACCATATATATATTGTGGAAACATTTCAGTTTGATCTATTTTGATACATTCTGGATTTCTGTATGTTACCAGGAACAGCTTCTGGTCCAACCTACGGCAACATCCAGATTGGAATGAGCGAGAAAATACCCCCAAAAAGAGGTACTTAGACGCTCATTAAGAAACTACATTGCTCATTTGTGTGCACTGACTATGCATGGTTCATATCTATCCAATATTTACAATGAATCGTCAGAACGGATGGCCCGGTGGTGTAAACAAATGCAACCCCCATGTCATGGGTACTAGGTTAGCTGTGGTTCTTGGTCCATAGTAGTGTAGAGTTCAATGATGTGCATGCTAGTTGCGTATATCGATGTCCATGCTATTGATCATTAGATTGGCTGGTCCATGCTCGATTATTTAAAGAGCGCCGCCATATTACTGGAATATTGCTGAGTACAGAGTTAAAACAATCAACCAACCAACATCACTGCCACAGTGCAACCAGGAATGCGAAATGTTAATCACTGATAAGAAGTCCTGTTTATCAGTGATGGTACATAGCCAAGTTTATCAGCGGCCCATGATTCTGTTAATTAAATGTTTGTTTGCTGTGTAACACCGCTCTTGAGTCTTGATATGACAAACCAGTGATCAACATCATGAACATCGATCCCCGCATTTGGGAAGTGATGACATGTGTGAAACACACGAGCCTGACAACCGTATGTTAAGATTTAAGACCGGGTGTACACATGTACTGTTTATTAGATGTTGATGGTCCTTTTTAGTAGTGAGTGAGTGAGTTACAATTTTACGTCACATCGGCAATATTTCAGCCATATCGTGACGAGAACATACTTGACATTGAAATGGTATATATGTACATTATAAAAACTTGTCGACGAAGGACAGTAAAACAACTAGAATATCACAGTTAGAATTAAAACTAGCGTGGAAAGTTAAAACTAATAGCAATATTTGAACAATACAATATAAAAACAGGCTACAGATCGCCAACAACAGAAGGCAGATCACCATACTAGGGACCATGGCCTTTTTAGTAGTGGGATAACAGAACCGTGAACACCTCCACATCTGTTTTCTTATTTTATACAGAAGTAAAAGAAAGGAAAGGAAGAAAACCAAGAGGACATAAGGAAGGTAAGAGGATAATTATGCTTGTGGTTTTTACTTTAAAAGCAGTACTGGAAGCAAAAGTCCAGTTCATCAGTAATACTTGATCCTCCTTTTCAAAGATACTCATCCGTCTTCTTCTGTTGTACAGAAGGGATAAAAAGTAGAGTAAGACCGCCGACGGAAACGTTGACTATGATGCTAGCTGTTTGTAGTAGTATTGCTACATAACTGAAAACAAAAGTACAGTAGATTAGAAACCATATATTTGCTTTGAGAATAGTGCTAGTTATCAGAGTCCAGATATATAAGTGTAGCCCCAAAGACGGTTTAACCACATCCACGAATCAGGTCGAAACAGGTCTTCCCAAGAAACGTGTTTAACTTGGTAGCTTCTTCTGACATGATCATGACCTATTGCAGTTCTGCAGGTTTTGAAGTTTTCGACTCCATGAGTACACGTGTGAGATGTTTTTGTCCACTAATGTGTGAACCAGTAGCTGCAGCTTCCAAAATGTTTATTTATTTCAATTCCATGTTTCATGTTTGTGTATTCCTCGACGTTTCGCATCTACACGGTCTTGTACAAAATATCATTATACAAATAATTCCTATGAATGAACATGAAGAATATATTACATTTGTGGTCTGCTGGGTTTATTATACAAGACGCCAAAAGAAACGTTACCCTCCTACTTTTGTGATATTACTGAAAAACTATCAAAGTTATGTTAGCAGGTTTTAGTTTACAAGAAAGCTTAACAACACAGCTTTATGCAAATCACGAAAAAGAATTCTCAAATGCCTTCATATTTAGGCGAAATGCATCTTTTTCAGAAGAGCTAAATTGTCCTATATTCGTCCATGCCGAAATAAACCAATAATAGTGATTTTGATGTCCAAAAGAAAGGTTGAAATAAAATTCTGCTTTGAAAGATAAACCATTTTAAGTCACCTTTTTTTCAACTACTATAACATGAAACGACTGTTGTAGAGTGTGTAAAATTGTAAAATAATCATCCCTATGATTTCAGCCTTTTAAAACATTTTCTGCTGATTTACATTTTTGAAAACAAGTAAAACGTGTCTTTGATATTGGTAGGAGGGTAACGTCTTTTTGGCGTTTAGTGTATGCTGGCACCTTAGGTGATCTGTATCAAATGAGACTTTCTGACTGATCATTGTTTGTGTGAGAAGTTGAATCTCATATTAAATATTACACAATTTTTACTGGCTCTCATCTTTTCTCCTTGTAGAGCACGTTTATGAAAACACCGTCGTCAGGAACTAATCTTTCCGGTAACTACGGATACCGATGACATCACGCGACTCGGACACCTATCGGTATCATCGATTAGTGTTTGCCATATATGTACATTTGTATGTAGATTCTTAACTGTTCGTATTACCCCGAACTAATACAGCCAGTCTCATCACTGTTCAGTACAAACAAAGGTATCAAACAGTTTCACTAGCATACCTGTAACGATGTCCATTACTTTGTAATGATACATCGCCTTTATATCCTTTTAGACCAACTTTTTGTCGTTTGTAACATATGACATATTTGGGATTACATTTGTTTCAGTAAAATACAGATTATAGTACTTATGGGTTGAGTCCCATTGAGGATTCATCCCAGAACTCTGAGTGTCGGTCACCCAGACGATCGGACCCACTCAGCCATCGCGGCTTCCACAAGTTTGACAATTTGCAGTCTAGATCACGTACCCCTCCTTCTGAAAAGGGTAAAATGGCATGGTTACCGTTGCCAGTTGTTCGTGGAAGCTGCATGACCGAGTGAGTTAGACAAAGACTCTGGGTGGCTCATGCAAACATACAACAGGACGTCTCACAGTGACGTGATAGTTTGGCAGATGGTGTTACAAGTGACTAGAGTGTGCGAAATAGCCACTGGCCCGCTAGTCCGGGGCTAGTAAAAATCCAGTCGGGCCAGTAAATCTCCACAGTCACTGGGGTCACTTTGTAACTATATCACTCTCTCCGACTTCGACTTGTTAACTTATAAAACACTTTCAAATCATGCCAGATTATGGCCTTATATAAATGTTCATATTATTACCCGTGTCTTCATTCAAATTTCGGACTAGTGAATTATTTTGTGGACTTTCAGGCACAAGCAGCCCAAATGGCTAGCAAAATTTGGAAACTATTTCTCACACTGATTTGTTCAGAAAATGTCATTGGAAGTACTGAGCTCGGTACAGCACAATTCTTTTTAACGTTGTTTTTATGCATTTTCTACAACAATTTCCAATGTAATGATATACATTTCATTGTTATCATTGTTCACCGTTTATATATTTTTTTCTTTTTGTCCTTTTTAGTATGAGATAGTTTAGAAGTTGAGTTTTTAATACCTACGTTGAAACACTGTAATAAAGTTGTTCATCCATATATTCTTGTCCCTTCTAAAAATATTAATTTTATTGATAAAAGTGTAATCGTTATAAATTAACTTCAGTACATAGTTGGGGCGGTGGGGTAGCCTAGTGGTTAAAGCGTTCGCTCGTGACGCCGAAGACCCGGGTTCGAATCTCCACATGGGTACAATGTGTGAAGCTCATTTCTGGTGTCCCCCTGCTGGAATATTACTAAAAGCGGCGTAAAACCTAACTCACTCACTCACTCACTCACTCAGTACATAGTCATACCATGTTCCTATTCATTCATTTTCTACAACATTGTAACATCCTCTATTTACACGTTGGTGAAAAGGGAAAGTATGTGCTGCCCTATCGGTAACACCCTCTATTTACACGTTGGTGAAAAGGAAAGTATGTGCTGCCCTATCGGTAACATCCTCTATTTATACGTTGGTGAAAAGGGAAAGTATGTGCTGCCCTATCGGTAACACTCTCTATTTACACGTTGGTGAAAAGGGAAAGTATGTGCTGCCCTGTCGGTAACATCCTGTATTCACACGTTGGTGAAAAGGGAAAGTATGTGCTGCCCTGTAGGTAACATCCTCTATTTACACGTTGGTGAAAAGGGAAAGTATGTGCTCTATTTACACGTTGGTGAAAAGGGAAAGCATGTGCTGCCCTACAGGTAACACCCTCTATTTACACGTTGGTGAAAAGGGAAAGTATGTGCTGCCCTATCGGTAACATCCTCTATTTACACGTTGGTGAAAAGGGAAAGTATGTGCAGCCCTATCGGTAACACCCATTATTTACACGTTGGTGAAAAGGGAAAGTATGTGTTCTCTATTTACACGTTGGTGAAAAGGGAAAGCATATGCTGCCCTGTCGGTAACACCCTCTATTTACATGTTGGTGAAAAGGGAAAGTATGTACTGCCCTATCGGTAACATCCTGCATTTACACGTAGGTGAAAAGGGAAAGTATGTGCTNAGGCCCTATCGGTAACATCCTCTATTTACACGTTGGTGAAAAGGGAAAGTATGTGCAGCCCTATCGGTAACACCCATTATTTACACGTTGGTGAAAAGGGAAAGTATGTGTTCTCTATTTACACGTTGTTGAAAAGGGAAAGCATATGCTGCCCTGTCGGTAACACCCTCTATTTACATGTTGGTGAAAAGGGAAAGTATGTGCTGCCCTATCGGCAACATCCACTATTTACACGTAGGTGAAAAGGGAAAGTATGTGCTCTCTATTTACACGTTGGTGAAAAGGGAAAGAATGTGCTGCCCTATCGGTAACACCCTCTATTTACACGTTGGTGAAAAGGGAAATATGCGCTGCCCTGTCGGTAACATCCTCTATTTACACGTTGGTGAAAAGGGAAAGTATGTGCAGCCCTATCGGTAAGATCCTCTATTTCCACGTTGGTGAAAAGGAAAGTATGTGCTGCCCTATCGGTAACATCCTCTATTTACACGTTGGTGAAAAGGGAAATATGCGCTGCCCTGTAGGTAACATCCTCTATTCACACGTTGGTGAAAAGGGAAAGTATGTGCTGCCCTATCGGTAACATCCTATATTCACACGTTGGTGAAAAGGGAAAGTATGTGCTGCCCTATCGGTAACACTCTCTTTTTACACGTTGGTGAAAAGGAAAGTATGTGCTGCCCAATCGGTAACACTCGCTATTTACACGTTGGTGAAAAGGAAAAGTATGCGCTGCCCTGTAGGTAACATCCTATATTCACACGTTGGTGAAAAGGGAAAGTATGTGCTGCCCTATCGGTAACATCCTCTTTTTACACGTTGGTGAAAAGGAAAGTATGTGCTGCCCCATCGGTAACACCCGCTATTTACACGTTGGTGAAAAGGAAAGTATGTGCTTCCCTATCGGTAACACCCTCTTTTTACACGTTGGTGAAAAGGGAAATAATGTGCTGTCCTATCGGTAACACTCTCTATTTACACGTTGGTGAAAAGGGATGGCATGTGTTACTCTATCGGTAACACCCTCTATTCACACGTTGGAGTAAAGGGAAAGCATGTGCTGCCCTATCGGTAACACCCTCTATTTACAGGTTGGTGAAAAGGGAAAGTATGTGCTGCCCTACAGGTAACACCCTCTATTTACACGTTGGTGAAAAGGGAAAGTATGTGCTGCCCTATCGGTAACATCGTCTTTTTACACGTTGGTGAAAAGGGAAAGTATGTGCTGCCCTATCGGTAACACTCTCTATTTACACGTTGGTGAAAAGGGAAAGTATGTGCTCTCTATTTACACGTTGGTGAAAAGGGAAAGAATGTGCTGCCCTATCGGTAACACCCTCTATTTACCCGTTGGTGAAAAGGAAAGTATGTGCTGCCCTATCGGTAACATCCTCTATTTACACGTTGGTGAAAAGGGAAAGTATATGCTACCCTGTCGGTAACACCCTCTATTTACACGTTGGTGAAAACGGAAAGTATGTGTTACCCTATCGGTAACATCCTCTATTTACACGTTGGTGAAAAGGGAAAGCATGTGCTGCCCTGTCGGTAACACTCTCTATTTACACGTTTGTGAAAAAGTATGTGCAGCCCTATCGGTAAGATCCTCTATTTCCACGTTGGTGAAAAGGAAAGTATGTGCTGCCCTATCGGTAACATCCTCTATTTACACGTTGGTGAAAAGGGAAAGTATGCGCTGCCCTGTAGGTAACATCCTCTATTCACACGTTGGTGAAAAGGGAAAGTATGTGCTGCCCTATCGGTAACATCCTCTATTTACACGTTGGTGAAAAGGAAAAGTATGCGCTGCCCTGTAGGTAACATCCTATATTCACACGTTGGTGAAAAGGGGAAGTATGTGCTTCCTATCGGTAACACTCGCTATTTACACGTTGGTGAAAAGGAAAGTATGTGCTGTCCTATCGGTAACACTCTCTATCTACACGTGGGTGAAAAGGGAAAGCATGTGCTGCCCTATCGGTAACACTCTCTATTTACACGTTGGTGAAAAGGGAAAGCATGTGCTGTCCTATCGGTAACACCCACTTTTAACACGTTGGTGAAAAGGGAAAGTATGTCCTGCCCTATCGGTAAGATCCTCTATTTACACGTTGGTGAAAAGGGAAAGCATATGCTGCCCTGTCGGTAACACCCTCTATTTACACGTTTGTGAAAAGGAAAGTATGTGCAGCCCTATCGGTAAGATCCTCTATTTCCACGTTGGTGAAAAGGAAAGTATGTGCTGCCCTATCGGTAACATCCTCTATTTACACGTTGGTGAAAAGGGAAAGTATGCGCTGCCCTGTAGGTAACATCCTCTATTCACACGTTGGTGAAAAGGGAAAGTATGTGCTGCCCTATCGGTAACATCCTATATTCACACGTTGGTGAAAAGGGAAAGTATGTGCTGCCCTATCGGTAACACTCTCTTTTTACACGTTGGTGAAAAGGAAAGTATGTGCTGCCCCATCGGTAACACTCGCTATTTACACGTTGGTGAAAAGGAAAAGTATGCGCTGCCCTGTAGGTAACATCCTATATTCACACGTTGGTGAAAAGGGAAAGTATGTGCTGCCCTATCGGTAACATCCTCTATTTACACGTTGGTGAAAAGGAAAAGTATGCGCTGCCCTGTAGGTAACATCCTATATTCACACGTTGGTGAAAAGGGAAAGTATGTGCTGCCCTATCGGTAACACTCGCTATTTACACGTTGGTGAAAAGGAAAGTATGTGCTTCCCTATCGGTAACACCCTCTTTTTACACGTTGGTGAAAAGGGAAATAATGTGCTGTCCTATCGGTAACACTCTCTATTTACACGTGGGTGAAAAGGGAAAGCATGTGCTGCCCTATCGGTAACACTCTCTATTTACACGTTGGTGAAAAGGAAAGCATGTGCTGTCCTATCGGTAACACCCACTTTTAACACGTTGGTGAAAAGGGAAAGTATGTCCTGCCCTATCGGTAAGATCCTCTATTTACACGTTGGTGAAAAGGGAAAGCATATGCTGCGCTGCCCTGTCGGTAACACCCTCTATTTACACGTTTGTGAAAAGGGAAAGTATGTGCAGCCCTATCGGTAAGATCCTCTATTTCCACGTTGGTGAAAAGGAAAGTATGTGCTGCCCTATCGGAAACATCCTCTATTTACACGTTGGTGAAAAGGGAAAGTATGCGCTGCCCTGTAGGTAACATCCTCTATTCACACGTTGGTGAAAAGGGAAAGTATGTGCTGCCCTATCGGTAACATCCTATATTCACACGTTGGTGAAAAGGGAAAGTATGTGCTGCCCTATCGGTAACACTCTCTTTTTACACGTTGGTCAAAAGGAAAGTATGTGCTGCCCCATCGGTAACACTCGCTATTTACACGTTGGTGAAAAGGAAAAGTATGCGCTGCCCTGTAGGTAACATCCTATATTCACACGTTGGTGAAAAGGGAAAGTATGTGCTGCCCTATCGGTAACACTCTCTTTTTACACGTTGGTGAAAAGGAAAGTATGTGCTGCCCCATCGGTAACACTCGCTATTTACACGTTGGTGAAAAGGAAAGTATGTGCTTCCCTATCGGTAACACCCTCTTTTTACACGTTGGTGAAAAGGGAAATAATGTGCTGTCCTATCGGTAACACTCTCTATTTACACGTTGGTGAAAAGGGAAAGCATGTGTTACTCTATCGGTAACACCCTCTATTCACACGTTGGTGTAAAGGGAAAGCATGTGCTGCCCTATCGGTAACACCCTCTATTTACAGGTTGGTGAAAAGGGAAAGTATGTGCTGCCCTGTCGGTAACACCCTCTATTTACACGTTGGTGAAAAAGGAAAGTATGTGCTGCCCTATCGGTAACATCGTCTTTTTACACGTTGGTGAAAAGGGAAAGTATGTGCTGCCCTATCGGTAACACTCTCTATTTACACGTTGGTGAAAAGGGAAAGTATGTGCTCTCTATTTACACGTTGGTGAAAAGGGAAAGAATGTGCTGCCCTATCGGTAACACCCTCTATTTACCCGTTGGTGAAAAGGAAAGTATGTGCTGC